CAGATATAGAAGATAAGATTGCAGTTAGTGACCAGGAAAAGAAAAATTTCTTTAAAATTGTAAGGGACCATGAGAAATCAATCCAGCAGCTGCTGGACAATGCAAAGAAGAATAACAAGACTGATCGAAGTCAATGAAGAAACAGGAGAGAGTGCAGATGACATAAAAAAACTGTTCACAGAAGTGATGGCAGAAAACTTTGCAAGCAGGGGAAAAGAACTTGACATACAGATAAGTGAGGCATATAGGACTCCAGCTAGCCTTGATCAAAAAAAATCTACACATAGGCATATAATAGTTAAGATTCCAGAAACTCAACAGAAGAACAAAATTCTACAAGCAGTGAGAGAAAAGAAACAAATCACATACAAAGGAAAGCCCATCAGAATCACAGCAGACTTCTCAACCCAAACCCTCAAGGCAAGAACAGCTTGGAGTAATGTATTTCAAGCCCTAAAGAAAACGGCCTCCAACCCAGATTGATGTAACCCTGCAAAACTGTCTTTCAAAATGGATGGAGAAATAAGATACTTTCATGATAAAGAGCACCTTAGGACCTTCATGAATATCAAACCAGCACTCCAAAAAATTTTAGACAATATCCTAGGAAAAGACAATGAGGATCACAACCCCAGGAAGCCCAGGAGAATGAATCCATCAGGCACAACGAGAAATTAAATGCAAAGGGGGAGAATCCAAGAAACAGAAAAATTCATGACAATGGTAAGTCAATACGTACCCATTATAAACATCAGTGTTAATGGTCTCAATTCACCAGTCAAAAGAAATAGACTGGCAGAATGGGTCAAGAAGCAAGATCCAACAGTACACTACATACAAGAAACACACTTAATTCAAAAAGAAACTCATAGACTGAAAGTTAAAGGGTGGAAAACACTACTTCATGGGACTGGAACGTGAAAAAAAGCAGGAGCAGCTATCCTCTTTGCAGATCAAGTGGATTTCAAACCAACACTGATTAAGAGAGACAAAGAAGGCCACTAGATCCTTGTAAAGGGAACAATCCAAAAGGAAGAGATGACAGTCATAAATATCTATGCACCAAACACTAGTGCACCCAACTATATAAAACAAATATTAATGGAGATGAAAAATCAAATAAGCACTAATACAGTGGTAGTGGGGGACCTCAGTACCCCACTATCACAAATAGATAGGTCAACTACAGAAAAAATAAGCAATGAAATACTAGAACTCAAACTCTTGAACAAATGAAGTTAACAGATGTTTATAGTGTTCCACCCCACAAAATTAGAATACATATTTTTTTCAGCTGCACATGGGTTGTTCTCTAAAATAGACCACATACTTGCTGCCAGAACATGTTTAAGTGCAAAGGAATTGAAGTTATCCCCTGTGTATTATCAGACCATAGTGCAATGAAATTGGAGATCAATAGCAAAAGAAACTGCAAGAATTTGATAAACATATGGAAATTGAACAACACACTTCTGAATTACCAGTCGGCCACAGAGGAAATTAAAGTAGAAATCAGGCAGTTCCTTCAATTAAATGACAATGACAATATCAGAATCTATGGGACACTATGAAAGCAGTGTTATGAGGGAAATTCATAGCAGTGAATACTCATATTAGGAAAGCAGAACCTCAGGCTTCTAGAAAAAGAAGAGCAGGACAAACCCAAAGCTCATGCAAGGGAGGAAATTATAAAGATCAGAGGAGAAATGAATGCAATGGAGACTAAGAGAACGATACAAAAAAATCAATGAAGCCAAGAGTTGGTTCTTTGAAAGAATCAACAAAATTGACAAACCCTTAGCCAACCTTATCAGAAAAAGGAAAGAAATGGCCCAAATCCATGCAATTAGGAATGAAAAAGGTGAAATTACAATGGACCCAGCAGACATCTAGAGGATCATCAGTACCTACTTTGAGAACCTATACATCAGTAAGGTGGAAAACACAGAAGAAACAGACAGATTGCTAGATAAGCATGAATTACCAAAGTTGAATGAAGAAGACCTAAAAATTCTAAACAACTCAATACCAATCAATGAAATTGAAAACGTAATTAAAAACTTACCAACTAAGAGAAGCCCGGGTCCTGATGGCTTCACTGCTGAATTCTACAAGACATTTAGAGAGAAACTACCATCACTACTGTTTAAACTCTTCAGTGAAATTGAAAGGGAAGCAATACTCCCAAATTCATTCCTGGAAGAAAGCATCACCTTGATCCCCAAAGCAGAGAAAGACACAATCGAAAAAGAAAACTATAGGCCAATCTCACTAATGAACATAGATGCAGAAATCCTTAATAAGATACTGGCAAATAGAATGCAGAAGATCATCAAGAAGATCATACACCCTGACCAA